TATATATAAGTGACTAATTTAAATATTATTGTTGAGAACATACAATACAATTTATTATAGAAATGTACCTGACCAACTTAAACATTAAAGTTAAGAGCCTGCAATATTTTATGCCATACCAAATTCCCTGACTAATGCAAGACAAATGTACCTCCATTCAGAAGCCCATTCTCGTACTCCGTTTGCACTATTCTCCTTTTATGTGTACTTTTATACTTGTTTGCACTATTTCTTATATTTATATGTAAATTTTTCTGTCGAGTATGTGTGTATCTCTATGTCTAATGCTGCTGACAACACTGTGAATTTCTCCACTGTGAGATAAATAAAGGCATATCTTATCTTATCTTATCTTATCTTAACTTAAGAATTAGGGTTAAACCGTAGCAGACACTTGGAGTGAAGGAACTGTTTGGGAGGTAGGGAGCTCCAGCAGGGCCGAGCTCAGGGAGGTAGCCACTATAACTAAGTTAAAAAGCAATACCAGAAATAAAGAGGCTAAAACACACATCCAGAGCTTAGGAAGCTTCAGTGAAGGCAATTGAGAAAAAGCAAAAGTTAGTTCCCTGACCGGGAATCGAACCCGGGCCGCAGCGGTGAGAGCGCCGAATCCTAACCACTAGACCACCAGGGAGGCGTAGAAGGAAGAAAGACCTAATGGTTTTTATAGTTATGCAGAGGAGTAGTGTGACGTATTTTTGTAATCGAAATCAGACTGATGTCAAATATTGCAACTATGCTGTCAATTAACGACGTTTTCTCTCGAGGCAATGAGTTCCCGTCATTTTCCGCTGTACAGAACAGAATTGGGAACCGGAACAGTCGCCAGCTAATTATTTAGTTGAAAAACCGATTGTTACTTTGTTAATCGTTATTGGAAGAATAACTTTCAAAATGATGTTAAGGCAAAACATTTTTTTTTCATGCACTGGTCAATTTTAAGGTTTTGGTATATTTAGCTTCCATAAAATGTCTTTTTTCAGGCTAATGGACAGAAAACATCCCAAGTAATTGTTTAAGTGTACTTTTTTCTGTTTAAAGCTATAATGCATATATTTATTTCAAAAGAAGTTTTTTCCTCATACTCTGATCCAGAAATCTCCACATCAGTAGCACTTACTTACACTAGATCTTCCAGTTTTGTTACTGCCTATGTTGAGAGAGTTTGGTTATTATATATTCACACCCTGATTTATATTACTTTCAATTCATAAAAAGCAGCACCTTTCATCAGACAATGACTCAAAGCGGACATAGATAAAGTCAATCAACGCTACAAAGATATCTGACCAGTGCAAATGTCAATGTTAAAATGACCCAATATTGTACGTAATACAAATTTACTTGACTAACTCAAATATTCAACTTGAGCACCTATAACAATATGCATTGTACAAATTTACCTGACTGATTTAAATGTTAAAGACTATAACTTTACTAAAAACATGGTAAAAAAAATAGGTTTTTGTTTGTTTGTTTCTCAGTCTTGCCATTGACAGTATTTTATGGACTGGCAATGTAACAAAATCCATATTGTAATTAATCAACTTGGGAAGTTTAATGGAGAATGTTTTATTTTCTACAGTTATTTTAAAGTCAAAGTGACCTCATTTCACTTGAGCCTTTGGGTGGTGCTAGAGGCTTCACGATTTACAGTTTTGTTTATGATGTAGTCACTGGTTGCAAGTGTCGCTACCACTTTACTGAATCCACTTCTACTGAAAGCCAAAGCTGAAATTCACAGAAGAAAACTTACTGACATGTCCCAATCATGCTTAGGAAGAAAACATTAGGAATAAATTATATTTCTGGCATTTTAACATCAAGTCAGAGTTATTTATAGAGCACATTTAAAACGGCAGACATTGACTCAAATATATTAATGTTACAAATGCATTTTTAATAATACAAACATTAACATTAAAACTATACAATATTATTTAGAACACAAATTTACTTGAAAAATGTGAACATTAAAGTAGAGAACCGGCAGCATTACATATTACACAAATGTACTTACCTAATTTAAAGCCATTTTATATCAGTTCCTAAAAACTTTTTCCCAGATTATATTCTAGCTGCTGACAATATTTTCTTAGTAGTGCAGTGATAAATGGAAATGATCAACGTCCCCACAGTAAAAAGTAAAAATGAAACAACAACAAAAAAATGTAAGCAGGCTTTGTCTAGTGTTCAAATAACTTCATTTGAGTTCTGTCATCCTCTAAACATGTGGACCTGAGTACTCTCACATTACCATGAATGCTGAATGTTTTTCTTAATACCCTGATCGTTTTGTTGTTGCCCTGAGATTGCTTTGACTCACATTTTCTCAAAATATTTTGCCAAACTATTGATGGCAGACTGTTTCACATGCTGTTTGCCTCCCTATGAATAGGAGCTGTATTTTACCTCAAAATGACTGCAAATCAGGACATTTTAAAATATATGATATTTGCATATGCAAACTTAACATTTCTGCTAGATGGGATTCAAGAAAGTTTATATTTTAAGTGGTCAACTTGGAAAGTTTCATGGCGATTCAAAAATGTTAAAAACGTGGTGTCACCTGCTGTGTGTGTGTGTCTGTGTGTGTTTGTGTGTGCATTTCCCTGAAACCTAAACCTTAAAGGTTAACCTGGCTGTGTCTTTGCCCTCAGCGGGTTAGTTAAAGCCTCTCTGAACCTCCCTTTTGTCTGAAGCCGTGCACGTTTCGTCCGTGTCCTGTCCTGGAGCTGCCACAGTCTCCGCCCCATGCAGCAGCAGCACACGTCCAGCTCAGCCTCTATAAAAGGAGCTCACGCTACTGTCTGGATCAGTGACAGCAGCAGCAGTGACCGAGAGGGGTCTGCACAAGATCGTTCATCCACAAATGGGCCATTGAAACAACTAGCTCTTCTTCTACTTCCAGCCATCCGCACCTTCCAACCGCATCCGGTGCCAACAACATCACCCTGCTCTTACAGGTAGGTCCAAATTATAACAGTCTGTGTTTTATTGCACGAAAAGCTTTTTATTTGCATGTTTAAATATAAACAGAGTATGAAAGCTTTATTCAAAGTTTACCAATCCAGTAAGTGGTGTCTTTTCTGGTCAGCTTTTCCTCACATTTGTCTCAACTCTCTACAAAGTACTAACATAGTTTTTGCATTAGTGAAAACTGTTTTTTGAACATTTGACTAAACTGCTCAATGCAAGACCACATGCACACTCATGCCCTCATACATTTCTTGCAGCACAGTTAAATAATGGGTAAAACTGCACTCTGGCTGCTGTATAGGTGGTGTGTTTGTGCGTCAGCTGCTGTCTTTATCTAGGCTATCAGGTGCAGACGTGTATTGGTCTGCATCATGAAATCCCCAAAGCCATCTGCTGCTCACCTGGTGTTAAGCTTTAAAGCCTTCAACCGGTTCTGCAGGCTGTTAACATATTCCAAGTTCAAGACACTCAAATGCATTTCTTTCTTGAACAATAATAACTTTATATTTGTCAAATATAACTCTTTAATTTAAATGTGCAACAATTTTTTTTTTTTTTTTTTTGCTGATTGCAAATTTGAACAAAGCTTCAGTTAATTTTGTTTTTAAAAATGCAGACAGAGTGTCCTGTGATGGCCCGGCTGAACACAGTAGCAGCTAGGGAGTCCTAGCAATGCAAACATTCTCTACGAGTGGCCGGTCACTTGTGCGATCACGCAGCCAACTCGTGCACAGTCCTATCTGAGCTCAGCTGGACATGTGGACCTGCTCTCACACACACACACACTCTGGTTATTTGAGTTATGGGAAACCAGACTCTCGCAAGCAGCTGCCTCTGCTTTTATCATTCTGCAGTGCTGAACTGTGGACTGGAATCCAGCACAGATGGCATGAATGAGACAGCACAGCTTCTCTGAAATGGCTCTTGAGTGTCACACTATTCTGCGAATGCTGTGATTGCAGATGTGCTTATATCTCTATAAGCCCGGGTACTATCTTGAGCTGCAGCACTGCACTACTTGAATGCAGTGATGACAGCAATACAACAAGATATCCAACTTGGGAGGGATAAAATAGAACTGCCCTAAAGTGGAGCTGAAATTATGATGAAAACATGATAGAATGTATTTTTTTCCATTTGTCTGCAGCATATTAATGTCTGTGCTCTCCTTCAGGTTACCATTTTCCATCTTTGAGCGGTTTTATACCTAAGGTCGGAGAAAATGGCAGCAATTCCATCAAGTGGCTCCCTCATCGCCACCCATGATTACTATAGAAGTGAGTCAGACTTGGGCTATGCATTTATATTGCACCGATTTCAGTGAAAGGAGATTTTTTCCAGGTAGAAGCTTGTTTTTGTCTTTGACTGACTTAACTAAATGTCTAAATGTGTTTCCTGCAGGACGCCTCGGGTCTACCTCCAGCAACAGCTCTTGTGGCAGTGCTGAGTTCTCAGGCGAGGTCATTCCACACCATCCAGGTATTGAAAAAGGACATGCTTTGATTTTGAAAATGTAAAAAAGTGGCATGTGCCTGCAGCAAAACAACTGAGGTTACATTTTGTTTCTTTTAGGACTTCCAAGGCAGGACTCTGGCCACTGGTGGACTTCATTTTTCTTTGCAAAACAGAACCAGGCCGGCATGCAGAACGGTTTGGAAAATCAAAAGTGAGCGCTACAAATGCAGCCACACTGGAATGAACTGAAAGCATTCGATTGTTTTAGTTGTGGAGACTTAAACTGTGACTTCTTTCCTTTTGCAGGAACGGAACCTACACAGTGGCTAACGGCCAGGTGACCTGCATCGCCAGAGAAATGGTTTTGAAAAGACAAGCCAGTGAAAGCAGCGAAAACGGGAAGTTCGAACCAGCAACCCCTCCACCAACGGCCTCCTAGACCCACCTTCCTGCCCCTACCTCACCCACTCCCTCATCTCCCTCACCCTCAGCTTGCCATCCCTCACATAGTCCAACTCTGGAGATGGAGAGGATGGTTTGGATGATGGTGTTTTTGCACCTTTAGTTAGTAGAGTTTGCTTTTTGGTTTTGCTTGTGTATATTATCTTTGTATTATGACCAAAAGTTTTAAAAAAAAGCTCAAGTATGTAAAAAGTTTTTCATGTTCTTATGATACTGGTATATTACCAATAAAATGCTTTCAGTCAGCACCCATGTGTCACATTTGATTCAATTCAAAATTATATATATAGTTCAAATTCACAACATACGTCATCTCACAGCGCTTAACATAGTAAGGTACAAACTTTACGAATGTTGAACAGAGAACCCGGCAATCAAGCATGAGAGTCGCGATGAGGTGGTGGGGATAGCAGATGAAGAGCAAGGAATACAAACAGAACAATAAACGTTGTATGTCAGTGAGGCCAGTGAGTACAGATCAGAGACGTGGCTCTCCAGATCCAGAGACACCTGCAGAAAAAACAAGCTCAGGGCCTCAGGGGAAACACAGAGTTCGTGATATGTAATGGTGATATGTAACTGTGATTGTTTCCATAAAGCTTTACATGTCAGTTGCCAAAACAAACACGAGTGTTATTTAGGAAAACAATGTGACCTGACCTGTTTAGTATTTTTAGTAATCATCAAACTCATCACTGTTTATGGGCTGCAAGAAGCAGTTGTTCTATAACTCTGTGGGAAACACATGCAGCCTACCTAACAGACTTAACATTGATATGATTACAAGTGATTCATTCAGGTCTTAATATAGCTTATGTCAGGCCTCACCTTAGCTTGGATGTGGGTCACCGGCTTCTGGAAAAGACACTGTCAGAGAGAGTAAAAGTTAGGAAGAAGAATGATTATCTAAATGTGTGGTGACTTTGTTTTGACTTGTGTAAGTGCATAAATTACCTAAAAACAGAGCTCTGGTCACTTACCTGCTACTGCTATTATAATAACCGGTCAGCGTGACCGTAAAGCCTCCACCTGCTGCTGTTCTAAATCTGCCACTAGAATTGTTTAAAGCAACATTTTTTAAATTCCACATCACATTGTAAAATATCCAGTCTGTTCTTGTTGCAAATGCTGCCTGGGAAAAGCATTTAATGTTCTCCTGAGATCCTTTTGTTCCTTTAAATGCAATGTGTCACAGTTTCTGGATTAATTGTTGCTTCTCCTTTATGTCAGGAAAGTGATGTATGCGTATAATCAAATAAATGCACAAAGAATAACCTACCATCCTAGTTATTGATTAGAGAGTCAAACAACGCAACAAGAAACAAGTGGTGAACATAGCAAGATACATTCACAGTAGAAGAAAATGTTCAGTGAGCTGAACAAAGATCTAACAACCAAACCAGAAGGCATCCTGAGGGGAGATCTTTCATTCACACAGTAACTTTTGAGGCTTCCTGTAATACCTTTGCAAATCTCTGCAAGGAAAAATACATCATAATTTACAAAATATCATTGCCTCCTATAACCAGTCTCTGGTAACGTTCTCCTATATTCATACATCTTCATTTTGAACCTTAAAATGTGCCTTAAAATGTGATGACATGCATTACTAGTAACTGTTAGAAGGATCAATAAGTGCACTGGTTCTCTGAATGGACTTTTCCACGAAATAATACACGGGGAACATTTTGCAATGTGGATACTGACAACTAAGAATAGACTGAACAAAGTCTGGCTACTGTCCTGTTGTAAGATAATCTATCTGTCCAAACATTAAAGTCAAACTTTTCCAGGGCTGAGCATTTCGAGCTGCATACTGGGACAAACACTTTGTCATCGTAAGGGCCAGAGACATGATACACGTAGTAAGACTTCGAAGTGACTCTGCTCATTTCAAAATGGCCTGATCCGTCCTGGACGCCCTCTAAAGCTGCCCTATTCTTGGCAGTGTTTCAGAGAGGTACTTGGGTCTAAAAATGTCCTGTGATCCCAAGCAAGCACAAACACACTCGTGTGGCTTTGCTGACAGGGGAATCTCCCATCATGCAGGTGTTTTTTGTATTGCTCCAGAGAGCAATCTGGGTCTCTCTGTACTAAGTTCACCAAGCAGAATAAAGGATAAATCCACAGAATATAAACAACACGGATGCAATAAGCACCAAATCAAAAGGAAATGACAAACTGCTGTTACAGAACCCTGCAGAAGGGCACAGGTTTTGTAACAATGAATTACATCACTGTTTTTAATGTCAAATTACAAAAGGCTAGGACATTGATTATTATGGGAGGAATTAAAACATTTAATTTATTGTTAAACTGATTTATGTTCTCTCTACAAGGACTGCACGTTTGGTAGTCAGATTTTCGATGCTGGTTAAGGGGTTTCCGTGTCCCCAGCATCAGTAATTCTCCCTCAAATTCTGTTTTTTATTCTCTAGACAACTAACTCCATCATGTTTTGTGTATTAAACCAAGAGCAAAACCATGAATGCCTCAGAGCAGAGACTATCTAAGAATGCAACAATACAGAAGTGGCACAAACTGCAGTTCCTTGAATGGTCACATGAGGCTGACTCCAAAAGCGAGTCAGTCCCTGTAGACCCCCATGGCAACATGCCCGACTTTACAGCTAAAATAAACACGTTTACAGCTTGGTACAAATAACTGTTTAGGTCTCTGTGGCTACATTCCTTGTTGTTCACAACTGTATGGGGAGTGAATTATCTTTTAACTCACCTGATGAAATTGTATTAAGACTTAAAGGTCTTAAAGAAACTAAGGCAGGTGACAAGTGGTCACAGGGCAGCTTCTGGCTGAGAGACATTCGCACAACCAGCCTGAGCTTCACTCACGCTCCACGTCTTTGCTCTTTTTTGGATTAGCTGGGATTTCAGAGGAATCAGGCACTGCCAGGATGAGGATGAACAGAGCCACCACACCAAGCTTTAAAACCAGTATTCAAAAAACCTGTAATTGATGTCATCAAGGCCTCGCGCATCTTTATATGCACAATGGTGTTATCTCTATCCACATGATTAACTGTATCAAGACTATAAGACACAAGACTCTCTGATGTGATAGTTGTTTGACCAATAGAAAGCAGACTGTTTTTTAATGGGTCATTTACACATATAAATGTACTAGTTTTGGTATTCCTCAAGTAAGATGTCTGGGACCATTTGTTTTTACCAGTTTTTTGGTCATATTTGTTGCATACCTGATGTTTTGTTGTCCTGTCTGGGACTTGTAGTGTTGCCGTCCTGGTCAGGTCTCCATTAGAAATTATAAATATGAAATTGCTCAGACCACCAGGACTTAGAATGTTAAATAAATAAAGTTGAGCTACTAAACTAAATAAAGTCAGATTTCTTAGTGGCAGTTAAGATCCATTGAGACATCTTTTTTCCAAGAAGACCAGAAGCATTAGTCCTTTCAGCAAGTGCCCCAAAACCAGATGTTTATGTTAAAGTCAAGGAAGTCAGATGACATCATTAAAGAAAAACTGTGCAGGGAGGAGATTTGGGTGAATGGATGGGTCAAAATGTCATCAGACAGACCCCTGATCTTAACAAAGGTACCCACTGTAACCCAAAAATGATCTTTCCAAACATAACATAACCTTAACTATGACAAAAATTCGTATTTTTAAAAGACAATGGTGCAAACAAACTATTTTGGGATTTTTGTAAATTATTCGGACAAAAATTTAGGAACTAGAAAGTGAGTCAGTTGTGAGGAAGATGAAAATAATAGGCTTACACTCAAAATGTAAAGTATTGTATTGTGGTCAAAAGCAGTTAAAAGGCAGAGCCAAAACTTAAAGTACAATTCTGGTTTTCCTAAACCTGGCATATTTCATATTAATTAATTAATGCACTCATTTGTTTTTGAACCTTGAACACACATTTCCAACTTTATTGGCTTTTTCTTTCTGTACAGAGAGCAACAATGGCCACATTCATAGTAAATGCATCAAATTGAAGGACTTTTCCACCGGAGGCTCTTTACCATCAGATCCATCAACATTAAGAACTTAAAACAACTTTTTGCTGCTCAGTGTTTATGATTACTATAAGAGGGAGGTTTGTGGAGGCACATTTATGCTGCAAAACGGATGAATATGTGCATTTAAAATGACAGAAAATTACACATTTCTACAAAGCTGTAAGAAACACTACATCAGTCCCACTAAGTTTTAAATCATAGTGATAATGATGATGTTGCACAATTTGTAAATGTCCTTATTTGTTATTTATTTTTCTATTTGTCGGATGTTTCGACATGTTGGATTTTTATCTTGTTTGCTACTTCTGGATAGGAGTTTAATGCAGAATAGGACACAGCTGAGTGGCTTTTACCTTGAATCACATTTTCTGTGATGCATTGTGGGTCAAAGTCTTTTTCTGGACCTTGATCTTCAGTAGCTGTCCACACTCAGTGGAAAATTATGGAATGACCACTCAGAGCGCTCATGCACATCGAGTGACCCTTAAGATAAAAGTAGAATCCAGGGCAAAGGCAAGCGGCCCATGACTCAGTGCTGCCAAAAAGTCCAACATTCGACTCCCCCCTCCCCTCCCCCAAAATGTACAAGTCTGGTCTGTATGGATAAGATAAGAGGAAGAGGCACATGCAGCACACACTATCAAATTTCTGTTTGTCTTTTCAGGTAAAGAATTCCATAATGTTTGCAGGTGCTCAAGTGTCATCCAGTTTTAGATCTATACTGGATCGGCAGCATGAGCCAAGAACGTGAATCACTGAACTCGTGTGACTGAACGTGTCTCAGAGAGGCTTCCAGCGTGAACACAAGAAGCTGCACAAGTGTTTATTTGTTTTACGAGTACTCTGTGTTTTCTGTACAAATACCCTGAAAAAGAAATTCAAAAAGAATCTGACGTATAAGTCTGTATGTTAGCCAGTTTATCGCATATAGTCCAGGTGACGTTTTCAAGCGCTGCTGAGACTTTGCTCCATGCCAACCCTGTGACACGTGTCTGCAGGACGACAAGTCAAGGTGAAACTTCCACAGAAACGGAATATGCTTTCATTAAATTTAGCACGAGAAAGGCAAGGCAGGTTATTAATAACAAAATTCTTATGCATGTATGTGTGCTGAATATTTATTCTGCAAACTGGGCCATGCAGCTGTCATGGCCGCCTTACTGAGTGATTATAACTACTAATATTTATTTAAGTGTTGTACTTAGTTTGAGTTGGAAGTCTGTAAGTTGCTTACTGACATTTCAACGATCTGCAACAATAAAATACTGCTCACACATTAATGCAGTACAGTAATAATGATTCATTTTGTGTTATACAACTTCTGTACTAATGATGCACTCCTACTTGTGTTTGAGTATATTTACATTGAGGTATTATTACTTTATTCAAGCAAATCATTTGAAGTATTGTTTCAATGTGTCTTCTAATGAGAAACTTCATCGCTTTATCTTAAATTAAATTTATCTTAAAAACCAATATTAACTTTGCTACAAACACATGAACAGATCAGTACCACACTCTGCATTTGACTCCCAAAAGCTTAAACGCATTTTCATAATCCTGCTACTGACTTCTACTCATAACTTATTATTTTTCACAACAAAAAGTTGTTGTAGTTCTGCCTAAAAGCGTGTATTTGGATAGAGGTCACAGCCGGTTTGTTTTTATTTCGTGGGAATGTTGACTTTGCCAGAATGGAACACAGCGTACAACTTCACACGATACTGTCAATTTTTGCCAGACCTGGATAAGCTGAGCCAAAATATCTGACGACACCAGCGCTTCACTTCCAGCATGAAATTATATACCGTTTAAATGAAGCCAGAGTGGACGGATGAGACAAGGCAGCTAATATTAGAAGTCACGTATCAGAACATTATTAGCATTTGTTTAAACCTCACTGATAAAATGACACTGTAAGAAAAAAAAAAACATGAATGAGAAGTGTGTTATTGCATTGCTTTAAGAGTTTTTGGAAACACATTTGTTGTATTTTATCATAAGCATGATTGCTGTAAGAGTTTTTTTTTTTTTTTTTTTTTTCATTCATGGTCTCCAGATTCTGAATCTGTTGATCTCAAGGTGATACAACGAGGTTCACGACTGTGGTTTTGACTGAAATTTCTTCATTAGTGGCTCAACCAAACCAATCTCTGCTTCATTCATGAATTACTACAGCAGCAGTCACCTCCCCTAAGTGTTCATGTAGCGCCACCATGAGGTCAAAGTGGTTTGTGACAAAACACCTGCAAAATAAACGACTTTCCCAGAGCCTCAGCTGTTCTTTATTTTGTTCCATGCCAGTTAAAAAATGCTAACATGCTAACATGCTAAACCAACACCTGCTAAACTTTAGCATCTTAGCATTATACACAACATTTTCCTATAGCACTGAAGAAACACTACACTTTGATTCATAAAGTCTGCGTGTCCTGCATCACAAATATCTATAATATGTAGCTTGTTTATGATTTTTCAGTCCATACTTGTAGCTTTGCTTTTCACTATACATGCATATCACATGTTTTTATGGATATATATATATATAAGCATACACATTAATACTACCAGCTTTATGTAAATTTTCTTATCGACCATCTGAACTGTAAGTGGTTTTTAGGCCTTTTTTTTTCTTTTTTTTTTTAACTTCTGTCACCTTTTTACTGACACTGGGCTCATTTTTCACTGCAATATAAAGTCCTGCACCTCAATGGAAACAGCACAAGCGTGGCTAGACGTAGCAGGAACTCAAAAATGTCTGTGCACTATTAAAAAGTGTCATAAATCAGAGAAATAGAAAAGGAAAGGTTGTCTGTTTTGGATTCCTTATTTTCAGATGTTGAAAAAAATCTGAACTCAACATGTATGGCATTTTTTCAGATGGTATTACCAAAACTGGGGAGAATATTGTGGCTCTACGTGCTATAGATATGCTATAATTTACATTTTTACAGCCTCTATAAATTTGTTGTCTTTCACACTACTCTGCACATCAGCTTTCTAAACATATTTTACCAGGCTGGATGTGTCTTCCAACAACTTGTTCCTCTTTGTACCGTTTCTAACCATGCTGAATTTATTTCATTGCGAGTTTGTTTTATTTTTCATTTTCTATTTGTCTCCTTTCTGCACTGTATAAACACAACCTGGAGTTCAACTGAAAAGTCTTTGAATAGAGTGAAGTGATTTTGATGAAAATGTATTCTGCTCTGAGCTTAGATGAGCTTAATGATTCCAACAGAACGGCACCTTACAGCTTGGTTAGTTCAAGGACCTTCAGAAAGTTGAAAATCTGACTTTTCTTCCTGATTTTACAGTTTCTGGTTCTGATAAATTGTGTCATTTTGCCTTTTCTTTATTCAAGAAAACATAGCATGCTTTAAAAATTTGCCTGCAAGTTTAGAGTTCAGAGGGTTAATGGTGGAGTACGTGACTCTTTAGTGAATATCATTCAAACCCTGACTCTGTAAATGGGAAACAAAGAAAGCAGCTTGGACTGATCCATACAGTACTACATCAGGGTGTCCCGTAAACACTTGTGCACGTTCAGTGGGGGTAAAAAGGGCAGTGGGAGCAAGAGGGATAGTAAATCTAATCAATAATCTGTCCATAGAATCACAGACTCTACCTGATTTTCTCTGGTGACACCTAATATTAATAATATAGGAATACTTTTGTAAAAAAAAACAGACCATTTGTTGTTGTGCTAATTAGTTTTACCCAATGTAATCTAGGTTTGCAATTATAATGATATTTGTTGTCATGTACTATTTTCATAGTGTCACCAGTGAGAGGCCTAATTATTCTTCCCAGACCTAATTAGGAGAGTGTTGAGCTCAGGGCAAAGCTGTGCAACAACACACATAAAGGACAATGTGAGCATTGTAGCTGATTCAGGTGTCATTGAACACTATAATGTCGTATGCCTCAATATGAGCAGAAGCTACAGGTTGTATTTCTTCAGTTTGACTGCTGCAAACTGTTGACACTGTTCATAACTGCTCTGGTGGTTTGCTGTAACTCTGCTGCCCTCTTCTGCACAACACAGTGAAGAACTGTGTGTTTTTCCATTTTCATCTGATGGCCTTGTGTGTTTGCATGAAAGAAAGACAAAAGGAAACCACATGCCAGGTCTCAGTTTGATAGCTCATCGCACTGTTTTATTCAATTACTGACATCTCAGGAGAAGAGGAGAGCCTTGCAACTCTGCTGTTGGTAAACCACTGGTGTTTTGTTTTTTTTTTTTTTTTATAAAAAAAAA